GAGGTTTGAGGTGGTAGAAACGTGGAGATTTGAGGTGGTGGTAGAAACGTGGGTTTGAGGTGGTGCGGTAGAAACGTGGGGTTTGAGGTGTGGTAGAAACGTGAGGTGGTGTGGTAGAAACGTGGGGTTTGAGGTGGTGTGGTAGAAACGTGGAGGTTTGAGGTGGTGCGGTAGAAACGTGGGGTTTTGAGGTGGTGCGGTAGAAACGTGGGGGTTTGAGGTGGTGCGGTAGAAACGTGGGGGTTTGAGGTGGTGCGGTAGAAACGTGGGGGTTTGAGGTGGTGCGGTAGAAACGTGGGGGTTTGAGGTGGTGTGGTAGAAACGTGGGGGTGTGAGGTGGTGTGGTAGAAACGTGGGGGTTGAGGTGGTGTGGTAGAAACGTGGGGATTTGAGGTGGTGCGGTAGAAACGTGGGGTTTGAGGTGGTGTGGTAGAAAAGGTGGTGTGGGGTTTGAGGTGGTGTGGTAGAAACGTGGGGGTTTGAGGTGGTGCGGTAGAAACGTGGGGGTTTGAGGTGGTGTGGTAGAAACGTGGGGGTTTGAGGTGGTGTGGTAGAAACGTGGGGTTTGAGGGTGTGGTTGGGGGTTTGGTGGTGTGGTAGAAACGTGGGGGTCTCAGGTGGTGTGGTAGAAGGGTTTGTGGTGGTGGTAGGTGGGGGTTTGAGGTGTGCGGTAGAAACGTGGAGGTTTGAGGTGGTGCGGTAGAAAAACGTGGGGGTTTGAGGTGGTGTGGTAGAAACGTGGTTCTGAGGTGGTGTGGTAGAAACGTGGGGGTTTGAGTGGTGCGGTAGAAAACGTGGGGTTGAGGTGGTGCGGTAGAAACGTGGGGGGTGAGGTGGTGGCGGGTAGAAACGTGGGTGAGGTGTTTGAGGTGGTGCGGTAGAACGGTGGGTGAGGTGGTTTGAGGTGGTGAAACGTGGTAGAAACGGTAGAAACGTGGGAGGTGGTTTTGAGGTGGTGGTGTGGTAGAAACGGTAGAAACTGAGGTGGTGTGGTAGAAACGTGAGGTGGGTTGAGGTGGTGTGGTAGAAACGTTTGAGGTGGTGCGGTAGAAACGTGGGGGTTTGAGGTGGTGAGGTGGTGTGGTAGAAACGTGGAGGTTTGAGGTGGTGGTAGAAACGTGGGGTTTGAGGTGGTGTGGTAGAAACGTGAGGGTTGAGGTGGTGCGGTAGAAACGTGGGATTTGAGGTGTGTGGTAGAAACGTGGGATTTGAGGTGGTAGAAACGTGGGGTTTGAGGTGGTGCGGTAGAAACGTGGGGTTGAGGTGGTGCGGTAGAAACGTGGGGTTTGAGTGGGTGGGTGGGGTTGAGGTGGTAGAAACGTGGGGTTTGAGGTGGTGTGGTAGAAACGTGGGATTTGAGGTGGTGTGGTAGAAACGTGGGGTTTGAGGTGGTGGTAGAAACGTGGGTTTGAGGTGGGTGGTAGAAACGTGGTGAGGTGGTGTGGTAGAAACGTGGGGGTTTGAGGTGGTGTGGTAGAAACGTGGGTGTTTGAGGCGGTGTGGTAGAAATGTGTGGGTGGTGTGGTAGAACGTGGGTTTGTGGTGGTAGAAACGTGAGGTTTGAGTGGTGTGTAGAAACATGAAGGTTTGAGGTGGGTGGTAGAAACGTGAGGGGTGGTAGAAACGTGAGGTGGGTGGTAGAACGTGGGGGGTGAGGTGGTAGAAACGTGGGGGTTTGAGGTGGTGCGGTAGAAACGTGGGGGTTTGAGTGGTGCGGTAGAAACGTGGGTTTGAGGTGGTGCGGTAGAAACGTGGGGTTTGAGGTGTGGTAGAAACGTGGGGGTTTGAGGTGGTGTGGTAGAAACTTTGTGGGGTTTGAGGTGGTGTGGTAGAAACGTGGGGGTTTGAGATGGTGCGGTAGAAACTTCGTGGGGTTTGAGGTGGTGTGGTAGAAACGTGGGATTTGAGGTGGTGCGGTAGAAACTTCGTGGGGGTTTGAGGTGGTGCGGTAGAAACGTGGGTTTGAGGTGGTGTGGTAGAAACTTTGTGGGGGTCTCAGGTGGTGTCGTAGAAACGTGGGGTTTGAGGTGGTGCGGTAGAAACGTGGGATTTGAGGTGGTGTGGTAGAAACGTGGGGGTTTGAGGTGGTGCGGTAGAAACGTGGGGGGAGGTGTGGGTCCGTGAGGGCATCTGGGTGAATCTGCTGCAGTCGTTTAACTGGACAAGAAGAGGATGAATAATTCAGAGGGACAGAGACGAGGCCGAGTGTGTAGAGGCCGGAACTAACAACCTACACCAGAGAACGAGAGAACAGAGGGAGAGGGAGAGGAGGCCAAGTGTGTAGAGGCTCTAACGACTGAATCCAGAGAACGGAGGAAGAGAGAGGAGGAGATAGGGAGAAGAAAGGGAAGGAGAGAGAAAAGGAGAGAGAAAAAACTAAAGAAAAGAGAAAAAGGAAAGAGGGAGGGGAGAGAGCGAGAAGACAGGGAGGAAAGAGAGAAAAAAAGGAAAGAAGGAGGACAGAGAGAGAGAGGAGGGAGAGCGTGGAGAGAGAAAGGGAGGAAGGAGGAAGGGAGAGAGAGAGAGGGAGTGAGAGAAAGACAGGAGAGAAGAGAGGGAGGGAGGGAGGAAGAAAAGAGAAAAAGGAAAGAGGGAGAAGAGAGGGCAGAAAGAGAAAATAAAGGAAAGAGGGAGGACAGAGAGAGAGAGAGGAGGGAGAGCGGGAAGAGAGAGAGAGGAAGGAAGGAGGAAGGAGAGAGAGAGAGCGAGGGAGTGAGAGAAAGACAGGAGAGGAGGGAGGGAGAAAGGGAGAGAGGAAGAAAAGAGAAAAAGGAAAGAGGGAGAAGAGAGGGCGGAAAGAGAAAATAAAGGAAAGAGGGAGAACAGAGAGAGAGAGAGAGAGAGGAGGGAGAGCGTGGAGAGAGAGAGGAAGGAAGGAGGAAGGGAGAGAGAGAGAGAGCGAGGGAGTGAGAGAAAGACAGGAGAGGAGGGAGGGAGAAAGGGAGAGAGGAAGAAAAGAGAAAAAGGAAAGAGGGAGAAGAGAGGGCGGAAAGAGAAAATAAAGGAAAGAGGGAGAACAGAGAGAGAGAGAGAGGAGGGAGAGTGGAGGAGAGAGAGGAGTGAGGAAGGCAGGAGAGAGAGAGAGGGAAAAGAGAGAAGGAGGGAATGAGGAAAGAGAGGAAGAGATAAAGAGAGGGAGACAGGACAGGAGGGAAGAAGAGGAAGAGAGAGGAAGAAATAAGGAAAGAAGAAGAGGAAAGAGGGAGGAGAGAGAGGAGGGAGAGAGAAAGAGAGAGAAAGGGAGAGAAGAGAGAGAGAAAGAGAAACAGAGAGACAAAGAGAGACAGAGAGAGAATATGGAGAAAGGGAGCAAGAAAGAAAAAAAAGAGAAGGAAAGAGCGATATCTAAGTTCAATTATCAATGTCCACTACTACTACTACTACAATTAAAAAAAAATATCTGACAAATATTCTACTGACAATTGGGGAAAAAAAAAAGAAAATGACGAGTTGAATTAATTTGGAAATACAACTTGTAGAAAAATATTGCAAAAAAATCTGGTAATAATCCTTTTTTCCATCATATTAACTGATCCAGATTTAATTTTTTTCATCTTTTATTAAAAACAGAATAAAATTGATGTCCATTTCCATCTTAATTAAATACAGATTTCCAAAAGTCTTCGAGAGAGACCGAGAAAGAGAGAGGGATGGATGGATGGAGAAAGGAAAGAGAGATCGTGGCGGGAGGAAGAAAGAGGGAGAGGGAAAGAAGAAGAGGAGAGGAGGAAGGAGAAAGTGCGAGAAACAATGAAAGGAGTGAAAACATAAGCTGGAGAACAAGAAAGGGTAGATCGGGAGGATGAGAGAAAAATGATGGAAAGAGGGAGGACAGAGAAAGAGAAAGGGAGTGAGAAAAGGAGGAAGAGAAGTATATTTGCTGTCCACTCGTTCACGGTTGGATCTGCAGTTATTGTAGAAATATTGAAGATGGATTTTTTTCTTTTTTTTCTTCTTCATTTAAAAGAAAAAGTGTCCTTGAATTTCACCTCATGTCGAGTTGAAACACGAAGCTGGAGATTTGTACAAAATTCTGTCCTCACTCACACCTCTTACACTTACAAGTACTTTTTTACACTAGCACTAGAAGTAGTACTAGTCGTTGTTGCTGTTGCAGTAGATCTAGTACAAAATGTAGTAGTAGTAGTAGTAGTTGCTGTAGTAGTAGTAATAATAATATCAGTTGTAGTTCGAGCAGTTGTAGTTGTAGTAGTAGTAGTATTTCTTGTAGTAGTTCTTGTGGTAGTTGTAGTAATAGCTGTTGTAGTAGTAGTAGTAGTAGTAGTAGTAGTAGTAATAATATCAGTTGTAGTTCTAGCAGTTCTAGTAGTAGCAGTTGTTGTAGTAATAGTTGTAGTAGTAGTAGTAGTATTTCTTGTTGTAGTAGTTCTTGTGGTAGTTGTAGTAATAGCTGTTGTAGTAGTGTAGTAGTAGTAGTAGTAGTAGTAGTAGTAGTAGTAGTAATAATATCAGTTGTAGTTCTAGCAGTGGCAGTAGTAGCAGTTGTTGTAGTTCTAGTTGTAGTAGTTCTTGTGGTAGTTGTAGTAATAGCTGTTGTAGTAGTAGTAGTAGAAGTAGTAATAGTTGTAGTAGTAGTAGTAGTAGTAGTAGTAATTTATTTATTTGTATTATTATTATTATTGTTATTATTATTTATTAGTTCATCTATTTTTTGTGTATTTTTAATTATTATTACTATTATTATTATTATTGGTATTCTTATTAATTTCTTTATTTTTATGAGTTCATTTATTTTGTGTGTATTTTTTTTTTATTTGTTGTTATTATTATTATTATTATTATTATTTATTAGTTCATCTATTTGTTGTGAATTTTTATTATTATTATTATTATTATTATTATTATTATTATTTTATTAATGTACTTATTAATGTATTTATTTTTTTGTTATTATTTATTATTTTTTTCACCCCAGTTCTCTGCGTCCCTGTCGCAGCAGTGAAAGGTGAAAGGTGAAAAGTGGGCGTGTCTTTTCTCACCTGGTCAGAAACTCCACCACAGCGTCGCCCAGAAACTCCAGCCTCTCGTTGTGGTTGATCCTGAAAACACCAAACACACAAACACAAACACACACAAAACGATGAGAGACGCTAATTATTCGCTGGTTTAATCACAGGATTCTAATTTAAGACGTTTTTTTTTGTTTTTTGACACGAGGAGGTGCGACGACGACGAGACGACGACAACCTGAAAATGAAAACGCCGCGCACGTGTCGAAACAAATAACAAACGTGCAACTTTGGAAAAAACAAGAAACGAGGGAAAAGTTGCGAGAAATTGTTTGTTAAAGTGTCACTGTGTAACTTTAGGGGTGCAGGGTCCGTCGCCATGGAGATACAGTTGCTCTGCTTGGAATTTTTCACAGTATGAGATTAAATTTATCTATTTCCACGCCGGTTTACGGGTCAGATTTGTGGAGAGGAGAGCCCGCTGACAGTAGAAAGTTTAATGCCATACTGCGGGACATTTCATGGACTCTTAACAGTAGTACTAGTAGTAGTAGTAGTTGTTGTTGTTCTAGTTGTCGTAGTAGTAGAAGTAGTTCTAGTTGTTGTAGTAGTAGTATTAGTCATACTAGAAGTAGTAGTTTTTGTTGTAGTAGTAGCAGTAGTAGCAGTAGTAGTAGTAGTAGCAACACTAGTAGTAGTTGTTCTAGTTGTAGTAGTAATAGTAGAAGTAGTAGTAGTAGTTGTTGTTGTTATAGTAGTAGCTGTTGTAGTAGTAATTGTTGTAGTAGTAGTAGTAGCAGTTGTTATTGTCCTAGTTGTAGTAGTAGTAGTAGTAGTAGTAATAGTTGTAGCAGTAGTTGCGGTTATTGTTCTAGTTGTAGTAGTAGTAGTTGTATTAGTAGTAGTTGTAGTAATAGTTGTAGTAATAGTTGTAGTAGTAATTGTCCTAGTTGTAGTAGTAGTAGTAGTAGTAATTGTCCTAGTTGTAGTAGTAGTAGTAGTAGTAATAGTTGTATTAATAGTAGTTGTAGTAATAGTTGTAGTAGTAGTAGTAGTTATTGTCCTAGTTGTAGTAGTAGTAGTAGTAGTAGTAATAGTTGTAGCAGTAGTTGCGGTTATTGTTCTAGTTGTAGTAGTAGTAGTTGTATTAGTAGTAGTTGTAGTAATAGTTGTAGTAGTAGTAGTAGTTATTGTCCTAGTAGTAGTAGTAGTTGTTGTTATTGTTGTAGTAGTAGTAGTTGTATTAATAGTAGTTGTAGTAATAGTTGTAGTAGTAGTAGTAGTTGTTGTTATTGTTGTAGTTTTAGTAGTAGTAGTAATAGCTGTAGTAGTAGTAGTAGTAGTAGTAGTAGTAGTTGTAGTAGTAGTAGTTGTAGTAATAGTTGTAGTAGTAGTAGTAGTTATTGTCCTAGTAGTAGTAGTAGTAGTAGTAGTAATAGTTGTAGCAGTAGTTGCGGTTATTGTTCTAGTTGTAGTAGTAGTAGTTGTATTAGTAGTAGTAGTAGTTGTTGTTATTGTTGTAGTTTTAGTAGTAGTAGTAATAGCTGTAGTAGTAGTAGTAGTAGTAGTAGTAGTAGTTGTTGTCCAAATATTTTCCCTTGTGGATCAAAAAATTTGGTTTAAGTTTAAAACTAAGCCCAGAAGAGTCAGGTTTGTGGAGATGCGAGCACGTTCACAGTCAGTTTTTCAATGTGATAAAAACAAAACAAAAAAAACATTTTTTTTTTTCTTTTTTGACCTTAAGAGCTACATTTTTCTGTCCATATTTCCCTCAAATACATGAAAATAAAAATAAACTAAAAATATCGTTTAGAGTGAAGCGCCTGTGTCCCGCTTTTATTAAAAAAACGGCGAGAGCTTCGTTAAAATGATCCCGTTTTGTTTCCGTGGAGATGTCTTTCCCTTCACAGCCGGACTTAATTCTGCTGCCAGCGTGCGCCCGGGCCGGACTAATCACCGGACGAGCGCGCGTGATTGGACGAGGGCGGGCGGGGGGGGCAGATAGGGCTCGGCAGGTGAGCACTTACCTGGACGGGGAGGGGTCGTCCTGCCCCAGTCGAGACATGATATTAATCAGAGTGTTGATTCCTGGAATAAAAACACGGAGAGAGAAAAGAGGAGAGAGGAGAGAGGAGAGAGGAGAGAGGGCAGAGAGGTGAGACGAGCGGGGGGTTAAAACCAGATAAAACACACAAAAAAAGGAGAAGCTTGATTGGATTAACAGTGTGGGTTTGGTTTAAAGATGCACTAAGGAACTTTTCTAATCCGTGTGTTGTTCGTTCATTCGTTTTTCAAAATAAAACCAAAAATAAGAAAAGGAAAAAGCAACGGTTTTCTTCATTATTTGTCTCTAAAACCAAAAAACAAAAAAAAAACAAAAAACAGATTTCTCATCAGGAATAAACCAGGACTGAAACAGGACTAAACCAGGACTGAACCAGGACTGAAGCAGGACTAAACCAGGACTAAACCAGGACTAAAACCAGGACTAAACCAGGACTGAACCAGGACTAAACCAGGACTAAACCAGGACTGAAGCAGGACTAAACCAGGACTAAACCAGGACTGAAGCAGGACTGAACCAGGTCTGAGCCAGGACTAAACCAGGACTAAAACAGGACTGAAACAGGACTAAATCAGGACTAAACCAGGACTAAACCAGGACTGAACCAGGTCTGAACCAGGTCTGAGCCAGGACTAAACCAGGACTGAACCAGGACTGAACCAGGACTGAACCAGGTCTGAACCAGGTCTGAACCAGGACTAAACCAGGACTAAACCAGGACTGAACCAGGACTGAACCAGGACTGAACCAGGACTAAACCAGGACTGAACCAGGACTGAACCAGGACTGAACCAGGACTAAACCAGGACTGAAGCAGGACTGAACCAGGACTCAAACCAAGACTCAACCAAGACTCAACCAGGACTGAACCAGTTCAGTCCTGGTTTAGGAGTTTTAGAGACAAATAATGAAGAAAGTAGTTGTTTTTTTTTCAGTTTCATATGAACTTTGCACAAGAAGTGGTTTAACAAAGACCTTTAGTATTTTTACTGAACCATATCGAATCCATTTGAAATATATCGTATCGAATTGAAACTGCACTGTATCGAGGTGTGTATCGTATCGGCGACTTCTGAACGATACCGACCCTAGACCCTCCGCCAGAAAAGTTACACAGTGCACCTTTAAAGCTCACAAGAGTATGTAAGATAATTAGTTTGATCAGATTTTGAATTTTAAACTTTGTCGAATTTCTCACTTTCTGCCTTGGCATCTTGGATCTTTCCCGCAAATTTTACACTCTGAATTTTGATTGTTGAAATTGAGGTTCTTGAAAATATCTGTGCTGAATATTTAAAAGGTTTGACTACCCCAAATAGAATGAAGGCTTTTTGAAGACCTTTTTAAAGACCACTTAAAGGTTGTATGGAGGATTATTATTTTTTTGTTTCAAATTGTCAATGAAAGTTTAAAATACCATTACAGAGATGCAGCAGCCTTGTAATTATGATGACCACAAAAAAATGAATGAAAATCTATCAACTGTGGACGTGTTGAGGCCAGATAAACATCAGCCAATAGAAAACGAGGCTCCCTCATTTTCTATTGGCTGTTAGGTTGTCAATCAAACTCCCTAGTGTAACTGACTCGCCGGTGCGTGGGGATTACATGGTTTATGCAGCAGTTCTTAGAGGCTTTTTCTAATTGTAGCTTCCTCACATTTCGCACAAAGTTTGTTGCGATGGCGGACGAGAATCCATGACCAGTTCGCCGCAAAAGAAAGTCAATTTTTGAGCTGAAAAAAGAAGAGAAGGGGAAAAGGAGCGAAGCAAAAGAAAGTCAATTTTTGAGCTGAAAAAAGAAGAGAAGGGGAAAAGGAGCGAAGACAAACTGAGGTGATTCCTGGAGATTCTTTCCAGCGATTGCGCAACTGAAGCAGACAAAGGGTCTAAAAACTGACGCATCGGTCGCTAAATTACTTCTAGACAGGTCACTTCAACAGTAATTCTGAACACGCGCTGGATGTAAACAAGGGTGATTTCTAGAGTAAAGAGGCGGGAGGACTGTTGCTGTATTTATCTTCCCTTTTTAAAAAAATCCTCTATACAACCTTTAAAAGAAAATTAAGACCAACATCGCTCCCATTATGCGGAGAAAAACACCAGATCCAAAGTACTGTTTGTGCATACTCCAAATTAGACGTTCATTCACCTTACGTTATTTCACGTTGTTTTTTTTGTTGTTTTTTTTAAACTACAGCCCGGTTGAGTTTACAAAAAAATAGGCTAATGAAATTTAAGACCTTTGTGAAAAAAATAAGACTTGGACAACATAATTTAAGACTTTTTAAGGCCTTAATTTAGGAACATGACATTAAAGAACTTTTTAAGACTTTTAAGACCTCGCAGCTGCACTGTTTTTATTTGGAATTTGAAACATACTGAAAATGTAAACTTACAATTTCAGCAACTAAAATTCAGAATAAAAATCTAAATCTAAATCTAATAGAACAAATTATCTTCCATACAAGAGTAAATTTTGCGTAATAATAGACTCTTTGGACTCACCTTTCTTCCTCATGTACATGTGGTGCACCTTCCGGTCTCCGTACTTGGGCTGCCTGATCCCGCAGTTGGACAGAGAGTTCCGGGCGTGGTCCGGGTTCATGCCGAAGTTCAGGTGGTGACTGGGGTGAGTCATGGCCAGCTGAAAAAACACACAAAAACAAAAACAAAAACAAGACATTAGCGCGAAGAAACGTCATGTTGTGAATTTTGAGGGGAAGTTCACACCTTTTCTGAATATAAACATTTTGCTACGAAAGACAGAATAGTTTAAAAAAGTTAGAATAGTTTAAAAACATAATTCACAATCAGTACAATTAGGGCTGGGCGATATGGATCAAAAAATATATATCGATATATTTTGCTGTATCTCGATATACGATATATATCTCGATATACGTTCAAGAAAAAATAACCCCCTAAAAGTGAAAACTGCAAAAACAAATCTGCCAAATTCCACAAGGTTTTTTTTTTTTTTTTATTGAAGTGTAAGAGGTCGACAGTTCATACAGGAACATTTAAGATTACAAAAACACTAATTACATAAATAATAATTTAACTGTCAAATAAAAGAAATAAAACATATTTCCTTCTTTTCATTCATAAATAAAACAACTAAACACAAGCTCATCTTTGCATTAACTCTGTTATCCAGACCAGAACCAGAACCATGAGCTCATTTAGCAGAAGAAGCTCAGGATGTTCCTTATTTTAACAGATCCATGTTCATGTCCATGTGAGGAGCTCTGAGGTTTAATCCCACAATCCACTGCAGATCAAACCCAACGTTTCCAAACACTATTGTACAAGTGACACTGCAGCAGATTATTCATTAAAATCTTCTGCATAAATAAACTTTACAATATATAAAACATAACGACTCTAGAGCCACATCAGCCCGTTTGAGATAATCATGTGTTTAATGCAGTTTTGCGCACGTGTGTTTACATTTTACAGAAACGAAACTTAAGCACATGGCTCATTTGCATAAACAGCACTTCTCACGCAGCTCAGCTCGTTCAGCTTCTTTCAGACTAAAGGACGAGACTCGGTGGAATATGAGGATGTGCTGCTGATGCTCTTGTCTGTAAATGGTGGAAAAGGTTCGTGGTGCTTGAAGCTTTTCACTGGCACCAACTTTCGGGAGACACGAGCGAACAAAATCAGGGAGGCGACGAGAGAGAGAAGGTGAGCAAGCGAAGCGGCGAAATCTGAATTGAATATAAGCATTAAATCGATATGTACGATATGTCAGAATTCATATCGAGTTTAAAAACGATCTCAATATATTTAAAATATCAAGATATCGCCCACCCCTAAGTACAATCTAGAAAAACTAAATGTCATGGAGATTAACAAATTATTGGAGCATGATAAGAAATTGGAATATTTGCTCACTGGTATTGGGAGACAGTAAAAATAATCATCATTATTGTGATTGTTTATTTTTTTTTTTTTTTTTTAAATATGGTTTGAACTCTTTGTTACTTATCCTTTTTTTTATTTGTGTATATTTTTATGCTCTATTATTATTATTATTATTATTATTATTATTATTTATTTTATTTATTTTTTTAATTAAAAGACAGAATGCAGTAATATTTCAACCAAGAGCGCCTTTAACAGATTTTTCTCCATGTGTTTGAGTAAAAATGTGTGTAAGCGTTCGGCTCCAGTCAAATGAAGCTCAGTGAGGCGAGCAGTTACGGGAGCGAATTTGGAATAGGAATTTATTTACGGAAAAAAAACTGTGAAATAAAAACAGCAGGATCGTGTAGATTGGGTTATTATTTTAAGACCAAAGTGAGGAGTGACATGAAAGGTTACGGAGAGAGGGGCTGATGTTTTTTCAGTACAAAGTGAATTGGAGCCAGAGCCGATGGAGTCAGGAGTGCGCCCATGCTCACTTCCTGTTTGGAACACAGCAGCTCTCTTCTCTCCTCTCTTCTGGCTCTCTATCCTCTTTTCTTTCTTTCTGTATCTCCACTCCTCTCTGTGCATCTATCCTTTCTCACTTCATCTCTCTCCATCCCTCTCTCCTCCTTTTTCCTCTCTTTTTTTTCCTTTATGTCTCTCTCTTCTCTTCTCTCCTCTCTTCTATTTCTTTCTCCTCTTTCCCTTCTCTCCTTCTGTATCTCTGTGCATTTCTTTGGCTCTCACCCTTTGTTTTGTTTTTTATCTCTCTTAAAATCCCTCTGTCCTTCTCTTCTTCTTCCCTGTATCGTTTTTTTCTCGTTTCCTATGTTATTAGGTTCTTTTTTTCAGACCTAGAGTGTTATTTCATACCTGACAGTTTCGACTGCTCACTAGCGTCTTCCTCAGAGTCACGTGATGTTGCTGTGACGTGTCCAGTCAATATCAATATCAACACACCAGTAAAACCGTACAGGAAACTCAGACAAATACTCGTTCACCCAAAAGACAAAATAGAACCGGAGCATAAATGTAATGTAATATACGAAATTCCCTGCATGTCCTGCAATAAAACACACATCGGGGAAACAGGGAGGGCGTTCAGTACACGAAAAAAGGAACATAGAACAGAATGCGAGAAGGAAACAGCGAAGGCGAAACACGAGCAACGAAAACACAAAGCAGAACAGGAACAACTCAAATCGGCCGTTTCTGACCATTGCAAAAGAGAGAACCACGTTATGGACGGGGACGGAGCAAACATCATTGGGACAGAGGAAAACAAACATCGCCGCTGGATTAAAGAAGCAATCGAAATAAGGAAACGTGCCCACAGGACTGTAAACCGGGACGAGGGGCTTTTTTACTCTCACACACCTGGGATACTGTCCTGAGGAAGTCGGACTGCAGATGGCGCTGTCGTCCTGCCTCCACCGGTAGGAAGACAGAGACAAAACCTGTTTAAATCAGCTGATCAGACACGTCACAGCAACATCACGTGACTCTGAGGAAGACGCTAGTGAACAGTCGAAACTGTCAGGTATGAAATAACACTCTAGGTCTGAAAAAAAGAACCTAATAACATAGAATATTGGAAGACCAAATGAATCTCATTGGACTATTTTCTCGTTTCCTCTTCTCCTTCTCCCCCAGTCCTTCTCTCCATTCCTCTCTCTCTCTCTCTGTTGTGTTTCTAAATCTCTGTCGTTCTCGTCTCTTCATATTTCAGTCGTTCTCGTCGTTTACACAGATGTCGATGTTCTGTTTAAACTCGTCGCTCTCTCGTCCTGACGCCGACGGAACCTGGGAGACAAACCGAGACGCGAGGAGAACACGCGACACCGGGAGTCGAACCCACAACCTCCTGACGCCGACACCAGGACAGGCTAACCACTCTGCCGCTGTCACAAGTTCGGGTGCAATTCATTCTTTTTATCAAACTATATTTAACTCTGCAAATGTCTCCGATCTGGCCAAGATTTTAAAACTTATATCAGGTTATTCATTTTGTTTTCATTTATTATCGACTTACGAGTTCTGAGATGCTTCATTCTGGTCTCGAGATAGTTTATTTATTTTATTTTATCGAGATAGTTTATTTATTTTTATTTTCACAGACTTGGGCCCCACTGAATCAGCAGCAGCGTAAAACAGTCACCAACCTGCGATTTTAAATTCAACAAACAAGTGAATCCGGTTGTAAAATTTGGCTTTTATCATTTGTGGCTTTTGTCCAAAATTAAACTGTTTTTATTTATTTTAAGTCCTGATTTTAGTCCTGGTTTAGATCTGGGTTTAGTCCTGGTTTTAGTCTTGGTTTTATCTTGGTTTAGACCTGGTTTAGTCATTGTTTAGAGCTGGTTAAGGCTTGGTTTAGACCTGGTTTAGGTCTGTTTTTAGTCCTGGTCTTAGTCCTGGTCTTAGTCCTGGTTTTAGACCTGGTTTAAGTCCTGGTTTAAGTCCTGGTTTAAGTCCTGGTTTAAGTCCTGGTTTTAGTCCTGGTTTTAGTCCTAGTTTAGAGCTGGTTTAGTCCTGGTTTTAGTCCTGGTTTAGGTCTGGTTTAGTTCTGGTTTTAGTCCTGGTTTTAGTCCTGGTTTAAGTCTGGTTTAGGTCTGGTTTTAGTCCTGGTTTAGGTCTGGTTTAGGTCTGGTTTTAGTCCTGGTTTTAGTCATGGTTTAGAGCTGGCTTAGTCTTGGTTTAGTCTTGGTTTAGTCTTGGTTTAGTTCTGGTTTAGTCCTGGTTTTAGTCCTGGTTTTAGTCCTGGTTTAGGTCTGGTTTTAGGTCTGGTTTTAGTCCTGGTTTAGGTCTGGTTTAGGTCTGGTTTAGTTCTGGTTTTAGTCCTGGTTTAGGTCTGGTTTTAGTCCTGGTTTAGGTCTGGTTTTAGGTCTGGTTTTAGTCCTGGTTTTAGGTCTGGTTTTAGTCCTGGTTTAGGTCTGGTTTAGGTCTGGTTTAGTCCTGGTTTTAGTCATGGTTTAGAGCTCTTTTTGTCTTGGTTTAGATTTGCTTTAGACCTGGTTTAGATCTGGTTTTAGTCCTGGTTTAGACCTGGTTTTAGTCCTCATTTTTTAGTACTTGGTGCCAACCCGAAAATTCAAATATCCAGACCGTAATTGATCCTAAAGAGGTCAGATTTTTAACAAATATACAGTAAAATACCAAAATAAGGCCAAGGACAGAGACACACTTCGATTTTAGACACATTTAGAAAGATAATTTGTTGTTTCGTGGCTCTTTAATGTCATACCTTCCTTCCTTTCTTTCTTTCTTTCTTTATTATGTGAAGAAAACTCAAACACAAACCCACATGATAATCCGTTCATATGAGAGTCGACAGTCTGCTACATTTCCCCTCTGTCTGTGTCTGTCTCTGTGTTTTTGTCCAGTGTGTGTGTGTTTTTTTCTTGTTTTTTTTGTGTCCACAGTGTCACAGATCTCTGCTCTCTCCATGTTTGTGTTTCAAATGTCCAGTTTGTGTCAGAAGCAGCTGCAGCACATCAGCCACAAACTAAAAATACACCACGGCTCATACACACCACATATATTCCACTATTAAACATATATATACACAATATTATTACGCTTTTGAACCGTTTTATATTCACACCTTCTTTTAATTCCACTGGAAAACTGTCCCGTCGTTTAACTCCACACACCGGAGCACGAAAGATTTTTCTCGGTTGTCCGCGCTCTCACCGGTTTGAAGTTTGTTTTGCCTCTCAAATTATAAAC